CTTTATTGTTGTTTCTTAGTCTTGTTTTTGACTTTTTCCTGCTTTTTGTTTTGCTCCAGAAATGGTCAAATGATCTGTGGGAAGAGTTTTTTTTGATTAAACAATATGTTTATATCAATTATACCACCTTCACTAAATCAATTACTAGCATGCATACAGCACTATTGAACCTAGGTGGTACAGTATAATTCCTCCTTCTATATCAACTATGCAAGTAGCACTATTGATTCTGGTCAATACTATTGATAACAACTATGCTTCCAAATTAAACAACAATAATTTTTTTGCCAGTACTGCATATTGATAACAATTGTGCCTTTTCTATTAAATCAGTTATGCATGTAGCACCATCGATTTTGGCTAGTATAGCACTATTGATAAAACACACTTTCAAGTTAAACAACACTATTGTTCTTGCCAATACAGCATGTTAATATCAAATTCTGCCTTCTTTAATAGTTAATATATATATTACACTATTGAATTTAGGTGGTACTGCCTCATTCTATATCAACTATGCAAGTAGCACTATTGAGTTTGGTCAAAACAGCACTATTAATAACAACTTTGCCTCCACATCTAAACCATTACCAGTATACTCTTTTAACTAATCAAACCAGTTATTAAATATCAACTAAAAAGTTACTTTTAAAGAAGTATAGCAAATTTTCTTGTTTCTTCACACTTTATATATAAAGCTAAGTATTTTCAATAAAATAAATATTCTTGAGCTTTCTCTTAAATAATCCCTTATCGTTGCAATATTTAGATACTCTAGCAAGGTCCAAAAATTTCTGTTAAAAAAATTTCTAGTCTAACTGGGTTATTAAGATTTATTTCTTCAAAAAAAAGTGGGAGTAATATATTTTTTATTAGTAAACAGCAATTAGTGTAAACACGTAAATTTTTAAAGTAGATAATAATTACGTGTTGTATAACCTCGTGCACCGCAAAAACATTCTGCGGATGTACGAGGTTACACGATGACTAGGTATAATAATTGATTTTATTTGTAATTGGTCTAAAACCACATGGTTACGTCTATTTTTTTGTTGCGAACCATCGAATTACAATAATTTAACATATTGATATAATGTCGATATCAAAGTTATCAATTACTACAATATCTATTATTTCTGTCGTCTTTCGGCTGGCGCTGTTGGTGTATGGTGAATGGCAGGACGCGAACATGCAAGTTAAATATACTGACATAGATTATAAGGTGTTTTCCGATGCCGCGCGATTTGTCACATTAAGCGAAAGTCCATATAAACGTTCAACATACCGTTATACTCCTCTTCTCGCCTTTCTGTTAACACCTAATATATATATACACAAATCTTTTGGAAAGCTTGTATTCGTACTTGCCGATATATTTGTGGGTGTTCTAATACATAAAATATTATGTTTACGAGGGTTAAACGAACAAAAAGCTGTTAATTACTCGGCACTATGGCTTTTAAATCCTATCGTAGCAAGCATTTCGACGCGTGGAAATGCGGAATCCTTACTTGGAGCGATGATCCTGTTAACTTTATATTGTATTTTTATAAAAAAAATTTTCTGTGCTAGAGAGTAGAGAGGTGTATTAGAAAGAGCAGCAATGCATGAAGGAATAAAAAATATTAAAAAAGTAATCAAACGAGAAAATATAAGTATTGCAACTAATGAAAGAAAAGATGAAAGTAAGGAAATCATTTTGTCGCAAGAAGAAAATATGCAGATAGAAATTACCAAAACTATAGATAAAGC